CACGGTATACTTAATGATAAATTAGATAAAATAAATAATTTATTAATTTTATTTTTATTTTAATTTTATTAATTGTGATTAATACAATTGCGTTTATCTCATCAAAGAGATCTAAACCGACAAAATATCAAGATACAACTTTTAATCGGCATTAAATAATTCTGATAACAATAGAAAAGAGAGTCCAGACATAACCAAAATATTCCAGTGATAACCCATATGCACGGCCCTGGTAAATCTGTGGATACTTTTTTTTAATAATATTTTAATATTAAAATATGTGGCACTCATAGTAACTTTTACCCTCCAAATTTTATCCAAATCGCTAAAAACACTTGGAAGATTATAAGTCGAAAAAAAAAGGTTAAGCCCTTGTAGCTACGAAACGAAGCAGAATCGGACCTATTTGATATGAAAAATAAATCTTATTTTTACGTGAGGAATCTCCCCACGAGAAATGGCACGTTTTTTGAAACACACTGTATAAGGCGGACCAGATGAGTCAGTTCAGAGTTCAGAGGTAGTTCAAATATAAAAATATGATGGTGGTAAGTCGCAAAAAATTGATACGGAAGTGATACTTGAAATTAATAGTCGCCATTGCAAACAAGCTCTTTTAAGTAAAGCCTTGTAGTTTTTAATGGCTTAATAAATTAAAGTTTAAAATATAGGGATCCACAGAATCCATAACACTATTTAAATACTCATAAAATTAATGCACGCCATGTTTACCACTTTTCAAATAGATTTTGAGTAATCAGTGTTTTTCCTTTCAATATAACCCCCTCCCTAAATTTTGAAGATGAGATGCTTGCCTAACCTCTAGGCAGCGTAACTGCTTGTGATCATGCTTGAATTAATAAAATCACGCAAGTATTATATAATAACGTAGATATAGTAATATACCAAACTATATGGTTTGGAAAGTAATATACAAAACTTACCAATGAAAATATATAGGCCAAGATAGTAGCATGCATCGATAAACTGGCTGTATGAGATGTATCAGTAACAACGGAGAAGACATGTTGCAAAATATCTGTCAAGTAGGTCTGATAGAAACTAGGAGCAGCTGCCTCATGTTGTTCAACGTTTTGTAACAATTTCAAGAGAATTTGTAGACCTGTATCGGCTACATTTCTCATGGTATGTTTAAATGCCCAAATTATACTGTCAAGTACCAGCTAAAAATAAAATATAATATAAATAATACTAGGACATAGATATAGGTTTAATTTCTAAAAAAAAACCATTGTGTATAAGTGCTGAAGAAATATTAACTTAAAAATTCTTGGTTTTGACTTCAACTTTAATATATTGTTCATACTATAATATATTGTTTCTATTAGCAAATAATACAAAATGATCGAAAAAAATGGCGTCAGTAATGGCTATGAAATAAAGATCTTTGTCATTTTATACGAAAAATTATATAGGGAACGTCATTGATGTTCATTACCAAACCAACTGGACGCCGTTTTTTTTCATACGGTACTTTCAAAGCTATAGATGTAACAGTTTCAAAATATCAATTTAATGTGGGATATTTCAAAAATCAACACTGATAACATGATAATACACAACACTGTAACCAAGTGTTACCTATAAATTCTTACAATATCTCAGTTTGAACAAAAATCAGAATAAAACAACTAAATTGGAGTATCTGCAACGGTTTTGTTGTCACCCGGCATATAATCTATTCACTATTTTTTTTATACAGGGTAAGTCAATGATAGAGTGAGGTTAGAGAGAAAAAAGGGCTCCATTACCACATTCAGGGTTTTAAGAAATGCAAAAAAGTAAAATTGAATAGTTTTAAAGAATTTAACATTATTCTTGAGTATAGATGGTGTTTCCAAATACTTGCCAGGTAAAACATAGTTTTTTAATGTAACACTCTATCTTTTAGGTTAGTTATTTTTTTAGTTTTAGTTTAGTTATTTTTAGTTTTAGTTTAGTTATTTTTTAGGTTCTGCAGAAAATATTATACATGTTTTCAAAATAATATAATACTGTTAAAACTAGTACCTTTCCTAATATTTAATATATTTTAAATACTAGTGCCAAGTAAAATTTTAAATTATAACAGCAAAAAATCTCTACTTTTTCACATGACACCCATCATTTTCTGCACATTATTATTTATTCTAATAAATTCTATATACAACTATTAATTTTTTATTGAGTATACCAGGTGCGTCTCAAAAGTGGCTCATCCCTATAACTTTTTTATTTTTTCAGATAAAAATACAAGATTTGGTATGTTAGTATATGACATAAATTAGTATTGATTGACGTATTCAATTGTTTTTGGTCACTTCCTGTTTCACCGGAAATAACTGCAACTTTTGATTATTAAATGGCACCCTCGGTATCATAAAACCGTATCACCGTATCGGTAAAAGTTGACATATCATATGTCAACTTTTGACTTTCTCGCTTAATAAAAAATCATATTTAAAAATTCAATCTAGAATGCCATGGCTATGTTAAAAACACAAATTCTTAATCATCAAGGAGCCTTGGAAAAATAGATTTGATCATATAATGTTCTTAGTATCTTATCCTGACCAGTTAGAAAATGCTCAAATCGTATTTTTAATCATATCTCAATTTTTTCAAATAATACGACGGTGGCTCATTTGCATATTTGAAAAAAGTATTTCTTTACGAATAATTTGATACCAGACACTTGGTATTTCGTTACGAACCGCAAGTTATAATTTCAAATAAACCATATGCGAAAATGTCATAAGTTGCCATATGATATGTCTTTCTATTAAGAGTGTTATTTTCTATCGCATAAAGTAAAAAAATACTGAGGGGGCCATTTAAAAATCAAAAGTTGTAGTCATTTCAGGTGAAACAGGAAGTGACCGAAAACAATTGAATACGTCAATCAATTCTAATTTATGTCATATACTAACATACCAAATCTAGTTTGTTTAACTGAAAAAATATAAAAGTTATAAGGGTGAGCCAGTTTTGAGACGCACCCGGTATAGTAGTACCCTTTTATAAGATTTTTTGTCGTTGCAGAGAATTTATTAACAGGTCCTTAAAAATATTTTTAATATGCCATCTGAATTAGTTCTTTCTCAGTAGTTAAATTTGTTATAGATATTTAGTGTTAAAAACGCCCAAGTGGATATCAATTTTAAGTAAAACAATAAGATAAACATATATTCTTACAATTTACTTACTTTAAATTGAGTTGGCGGAATATTTAAAAATGCCACAAAACAATGATTATTTACAGCTTGAAGGAGCAAGAAAAAGTTGGTTCTATGTTCAGGAAACTCTTCAAAATCCTTATTAATCATTTCAAGGGTACACTCAAAAACTGCATCAAAAATTTTAGGTATCTGAAAATAATAATTTTGTATAGATGATTCAAAGCTGGGATAATAAGATTCTTTAATACTACCTCCACAGTAATATGACCTTCTAGCTTATGGACTATTGTGGCAATAGCACTTAGTACCTCAGGTTCTCTTGCACAAGGCACTGTAGTTCGCTGGTAATCTATCAAAACTGCATCTAGAAAGGGAGGTAGAAAGTTCTCTAAAACCATAGTGTTGTCATTTGATTTTGAAATCCAATCAGCAATAAGTTTAAGAGTTTCCTTTTTAACAACTCGCATAGCTTTTATCAGAGGTTGTTTCGTAACGGCTTCTCCATTTAAAGTTATAGCTGCAGTTATATTCTCTGACATAACCTGAAATTAAAAAATAATCTTATCAAAAATCATAAGTCCCTATTAATTATTATTGCAGTGCAGTGGCGAAATACCCATAAAGGATTTTTTTGGATAGATGAATCCGCCACATAGGTATAGACATTTTTTATATTAGATATATTTTTAATGTTATGTTTTTATGGGCATTTACATTTTTAAATGGAAATGTAAGGTTTTTTACAAATTTAGTTAAGTTGATTTATACTATTTTGTTCGATGTGAATTTTAAGGTACCTATATTTTTTTTCGTTTTTTCTTTGCTTGTGCTCATTTGCGTTCATTGTTTGTGTTTATGTTAATTTTCTCATGACTGATTATTTAATAATTTAATATTATTTTCATTAAAAATTTATTTTTTTATAGATTTTACTTTAAAAACCATCCCTTGCTTTCTGATTAATGATGAACTGCACCATCAGTGCACAAAAATTAGCTAGTACGAAATAAACCGAGAAATCCCGGTTCTTTAGGGGCATGGTACCGAAGTTCCCGGTTCCGAAAAACAACTTTGGTTCTCTAGTGGTATCCTAGTTCCTATAAACCCTAGTAGTATACTAATAAAGGGAATGTCAGTATCATTTCATTATTTCATGTATAATTTGTAAAGTTTATATGTTTTGAAATAAATATTATTATTATATACAGGGTGGGTCAATGGAAACTTTCCACACCCATTGTTCTCGTTTAAAATTAAAATTTGGAAAAACGCTCGGACACGTCGATTTAGTTTTCGAGGGGGATATAAAAATATCATAAAATCACTTTCACACCTACAACCCCCAAGGCGGGGGTGGCGCCACCCCTATATTCTTAAATGGAAAGGGGGGCCGAGTGATACCTCATGTGAAAGGTCTTTTAATTCCCTTTCTAATGATATAAGATATAATTTACTTTCGTTCAGTAGATTTAGAGATTTATTGATTTAAAGTAGATTTTTTAATTTATCAGCTAAGTGGTGAAAAAATCGTTTTGTTTTCTCTCTGTGTGTATTTTTTTGGCAAACTGTGTGTACCAAAAATTTTAACTAATCAATCTGCATCGATCCACGCAAAAACCTTTCAATTCGGAATAAGTGAAAAAAGCTCAATTTTGGCTGGGAAAATTTTTAGAAATATTAAAAAATAAAAAAAAAATAAGTTTTTTTATTTAAAAGCTTAATTTTTAGTATACACAGTTTGCCAAAAAAGTACATACAGGGAGAGAAAAAAAATAGAAACCGATTTTTTCGCCACTTAGCTGATATATTAAAAAATCTACTTTAAATCAATAAATCTCTAAAACTACTGAACGAAAGTACATGATATCTTATATTCTTATATCATTAGAAAGGGAATTGAAAGGCCTTTCACATGAGGTATCGGCCCCCCTTTCCATTTAAGAATATAGGGGTGGCGCCGCCCCCGCCTTGGTGTTTGTAAATGATTTTATGATATTTTTATTTCCCCCTCAAAAACTAAATCGACGTGTCCGAGCGTTTTCCAAATTTTAATTTTAAACAAGAAAAATTGGGGTGGAAAGTTTCCATTGGCCTTACCCTGTATATGTACCCAAGGATGTTGTTTGCATATAAGCTTGGATGGTGTTTACGGGTTTTGTAATTGTTAACTTGATTGCCAATTGAGGCAATTTTTGCAACTATATTTTTTCAAACTGAATCCAGGGATTTGTCGCCCTTATAATAATAATATATTAGTTATTATTGTAATACATACACAAAATACGAATCACAAAAGGCAAAGCTGAAGCATTACTTCCTATCTTAACCTGTGCTAAACTTAATTAACAATCTTTGCTACACTAAAGTTTATAAAAAAATTATAGTAAGCTGACTAAATGAGGTAAGCTGGCTTCTATGCATTTAGCCATCAAACAGGTTTAAACTGGAAATCTCACAGCGCTTCTTGATTATCAAGGAGCCTCCAATCTTTCATTGAAACAATTATCTGTCTGAATTATTTAGTTTAAGGAGTAGCATGTGTCCGAATTTAAAGAGATTACATTGTATATCAAACTAAAATTTGAACAATACTTACTTTATAAACATTCAGCATATCCAAATAAATTCGACCAAGCTGCAAATCACATAACTGCATTGATTCAGACGACTGTTTTGCAAGTCCACGCACTTATTGTTGTTTTAATAGCTGGCAAAGCTGTTTACTACTCTCAATGCTTGTTAAGAACTAATCAACTATTCTTTCTACTCGGCCTTGCAACATCACTAATCCCATGTCATCACCATTAACCCAACCTTAATAAAAATAATATTATGATAATAGAATATGAGACAAAGCTATTAAAGGCATTTTAAGATATTTACTATGAATTTGGATAGAAGCATTGTAATTTTCATATTAAAGCTTCTTGTGTAAGGTTGTGTGACTTTGAAGTCAGATATCATATTCAGAGTAACCACAAGCTTACAAGTAGCAATGTGAATCTCTGCTGGTCTTAAGTCATCAATAATAGTAGAACTAGATGCCAATGATATCTTCTGTATAAAGCGTCGGGCAGATCAGACATTATGGTGTAGCTCACAATAATGTCCATCATATCAGCATTTCAGTGACAAATCTTATATGAAAGTGTGATTAGAGTCTACAGGAGCAATATATGATCTTGTTACATCAGTTCCATGCGTGTGATCCGTCACTATAAATTACAACTAATATTTTTACTGACTCCTACAGTTCTTATAAAATTCTCCATATTGAAGCTACTTTAGAAAACCATAGGAACTAGCTGCTCCCTAATATCATACGTATCTGCTGTGATCATGCGTTTTATTATACTTTGCCGTCTTTTTGATCGCCAGGGTAGTAATAAATCTTTTAATAACTGTACTAAAATCCTTTTTCATTTGCAATCCGGGTTCGCATAGCTGCCAGAATATACTTCCAATGAGCCAACACAAAGCTTTAAGTATTTGTTTTGCAATAGACACTCGTCCTATCTATTTGATTTATGGTGATAATTCTTTCTGTAATGGCATACTGATCCAAATGTGTTAAATACAAAGTGTCCCACCTCATATTCTTGATGATATAAGAATCCGCCCACTCAGTCACTCTTCCTCATAACCGCTCTCTTACAACTTCCATTGTCATTTATTATCGCAACCACTAAATCTATTTCTGTTTTAGCCATTAAAATCATTCTGTATTCTTAGCTATTGTTTTAAACACGTTTCTGATATAAGTCTGCGGCTAGGATAATTATAAAAAAGCTGGAGCTCATCAGCAACCATCATGTTTAAGTTTGCTGCCATCTCCGTACTGAGTTCTGAAGATAAAAACATATGTCAAATATTCTAAACAAATATTTAAAGAATTTCAAACCTCATCAAGCTAACACAATAAGAACCAAATATTGAGTAGTGCATTTTCTTAAATATAGCCGTGTGCTTCGCTATGTTCTTTTCAAAAATGTCTACTAATTAAAAAAAAAAAAAAAATTTTGAATAAAAATTTTGTATCTTAGAGAAATACTGACCACACGAATATGCTAGTTTTAATATCTGTACTTAAAGGTAACATAACTTCTAATTGTGCCATAGTTTGACTAAATAAACTTAAGTTGAGAGTGAGCATATCATTATAGACATTACTAAGAAAGTAGTTACTCCACAATTTCTGAGTCAAAACAACATTAAAATCGTGTAAACTGGAGCAGCACTAAACAGATAACAGGAAAGGAAGACCGAAAATTGAAAATTTCGTTTTTTAATTTTTTGTTTCAAATTATGTGGACACAAGGAATATACAATTAAAAGTATAAAATTCGTTAACACAGAGTTTCCAAAGTGTTGGCACTATAAACCAGTGGCAGGACATTTTGTAGTGTAATTATGTTTCTAGTAAATGAAAACTCTGACATAAGATGGTAGATTGCATAGTCAGAACCACGATTGTCATCTTTCTAACATGCACCTAGCTTTTGGTTTGTGTAATTATGGTCACCAGACTGACGAATATCGAACAATCTCCTCACTAAGTAAGACTCTATTAAAATCTGATTATAATAATTAGCCTGAATCACTAGGGTCATTTCGTTGGTTTTACTGAGCCAAGATCCACATGTCAGTATGCTCCCATTTGGGGCCCATTCCCCGTTCCGCCCTTGCCCGGTATATGAATTTGAAATTTAATTTCAAAATTGATTTAGTTTAAGGCCTCCAAGGTGAATTCTGAGAATCATGAGCTAAGTTTTAAGGTAATTAATGATACTAATGGTACTATTTATTATTATCTCTTAAACTGGAGATGTCTTGGTGAATATTTCCACCATTGTGAGCGCACTGTGTCAAGTATTTGTAAAGGCAAATATTTTGTGTTGTTTGGTTAATTAGGAATAAGTCCTAATATGAATCAACTCTCTGTGTCAGATAGTCTGGATGTATTGTTGATTAACAGTAGATTAGATGAACAAGAAGAATGTAAGGTGGAGTTTATTTGTCTAATTCTGGGTGTCTCACCATTACCTTGCATTAATACAATACCTTTGGTATACACTGTTTCCAATAAATTAATTGTTCGCAACTTCTGGTTAAAATTAAGCAAAGCAGCTGCTGCTTGCTGGAAACGGTAGTTCCATACGTGTTTGACTAATTTGTACTCAGGTTTCTTCAGAAATAATCATCATTCCTTAGTTTCTAACTAAAAATAAACATCCATGGTTTTTTAGAGAACGTACATTTCCTTAGATGAAGTGAAGACTAATATTTTCTATCAAAAAAGTTTGAAAAATCTAGACACTAAAAATTATTAACGATTCTTAGTATTATATTGTAATACTTAAAAAAGCGTTTAACAACCTTTTACAAGTAACGCGAAAGTAATTAACAGTTATTAGAAAATTACTTATAATAAACAAGAAAGAAAACAAATTCATATTCTCCTTGAATTTTTTGATGAGTATTGTTCAAATTTTCAGGGAGCGCTATACCGAGGGGTATAAGAGGGGACCGGACGCGAATCTTGCGGATATTATAGACGATAAACTTTAGTTTACTTACTGTTGTATCTGATTTTTAGATCAAACCAAAAAGACACACTAAAAAACTCTCAGCACCACAAAAAGCGCAAAAACCAAAAACGACATCCGACATTAAAAGTTTGGCCTCATAAGGTTAACAAATTGCCGAATCCTAAAATATAAAAATAAAATTTAACTAAAAAAAAAAAAAAAAAAAAAAAAAAAAAAAAAAAAAAAATCATTTATTTTTATTTTCAAATTTTTTTTTTTTATTATTATAGTTATAAAATTTATGAAGAAATTATGGTTTCCTAATTGAGAATTTCGGTTATATAGATTGTTCAGAACATGCTGTAATAGTTTCAATGTTGACATTTTTCTATACAGAGAACTACATTTTTAATCTCTGTAATATTTTTATATTTTTATAATATTTTTTTTTTTAAATTTAATTACATCACTTTCTTCGTCTTTTTCGAACGATTTATCACAGAAATTCAATACCCTATGATGAAAAAAAAGGTTGAGTAGCTAGGAATATCGTTGGATATTAATATTCTTCGTATATATATATTAATACATATGACCAGTAATTTTTAGTTTTCCAATTTCCAAGCTAGCTCTGATACTGATCTTTTTTTTTCAGTGATGTATATGATATTTCAAATTTACAAAAACTCTTTCAAAACTCATGAAAAACCTAAATCCAACGACGACGGCGGAATCAGGTCAAAGGGGTGCGTGGATAGATAGAGGACTAGCCAATACTGGTCTCAACCTTGTGAACGTGGGCAAGCCATTGGTTTCTCTCTCAGCTTACTTCTAAAATGGCGGGGCTATAATAGAGAGTGGATACCGCTAATCACCTTTGTGGGAGCTGACATCTTTTCCAGAATTCACAGGCGGTCATACTGAGGAGAGGCATAAGTCAGGGTCCTCACTAGGGATAGGACCTCATAAATCAGGAGGTAATAAGAAGAAAGAGGGAATATCCACAGTTATAGATTTCGCGGACAACACCATGTATCAGGTCTAAGGAGATGCCAAGTTAAACAGATGGAGAATGGGACAGACGTCATTAAAGTGCCAAACTAACCCATCAAGAGCACGTCAGTCCACCCTCAGTCGGAGACAAGCTGCTGGACCACAAAACACATACACAAAAAAGTGCGCATCCATAAAAGAATGAAATACAAGAAGTATAACGTGTCAGTAAATATTAAATTATGGAAACAGCGTGGTTGCCTGGGTAACTAATTTCCAGATATGGCGGCTGGACATTTGACATGACATAGACATGACATTTTCATTTTATGAAAATTTAATTGACCGTCCGGTTTCTAATGGCGAGGTGTTCAGGGAGGTTGTAAATGAAGGGTTAAGTATACTTTTTACTGCTTTCTAGTAGTAGTAAAAGTCAAAATTCTCAAAAATATTTATTTGGTAA